CCAAATATAATCTATCTAGATCCTAGCACAGGGACATTGGTTACCATGGTGACCGCAGTGTCAGGATGGAATTAAACTCCATTGGAAGACCATAGTATCTTGCAAGGCGACAATCCATCAGCTAGTACTGGTATACCCTTTCTTCTGTTATTTCTAAAAAATCCACCTTTCTTTGCAGTGAATGTAGAGTTTTGACTCGGCAACTCCTCATATATTTGTCAAAGGCAGAGATACATTGCAAAATTCTTTATGCACCTTTACTTTTGATCCCAGATTACACAAAGCAGCATTGAGAACACATGGTGCTAATACGTTCAGTGTCGTGTTTCTGCTTTATTTTTTGAATCACCCTAATTTCAGGCAATCAAGCCTCCCCAATGTATCATTTTCACAGCACCATTCCAGAAAAGCATGCCCCTTTCCTCTGACACAGGTGGTAGCTACGTCATCTGAACGGTGAGAGTATAATCATGCTGGGTCTCATTGAAACAAACCAAGCCAGTTTATTTATTCATGGTTATCCGTCCTTAAGTTAAGAAGTAGACAACTTAAACTTATAATATTTACGGACAGGTGGCTGGACCATTAAGCTGTGAATCTCCAGCACCACCAGCCCTTTTCAATAGAGCAAACGCAACCTCTGAATAGAGAGACTGGCTGCTGTACGACAAGAGCAAGAGGACCAGATGGATTTAGTCTTAGGCTCAACTTACCTGACAGACGCTCTCAGCACGCAGAGCAAAAGTTGCACCCGCTCTCACCCACTGAAATGCCCAACCAGGCGTCATCCACATGGCCGAGCAAGTTCCTAAGCTCTGGGCCTCGTTACGCGTCAAAACACAGCACAGTGACTCTAAGCACTGTAAACACTCTGGATAGGTTACGCCCAAAAACCAAGCCAAGCTGAACTGCCAATGTCCCTGAAGGGACTTTAACATAACAAAAAATAATTCCCAGCCTAGTCTCCCTGCGCTTGTGTAAAACGACATTGATAAGGGTGTGGAATGGACTCTAATATGAAGAAATGGACTGAGCCGGTAGAATAAGACAGCTTAGTTAAGAATGGAGAGTCGTCCTGGTGGGCGCTCAGTGGTGGATGAAGTGGGTGTGCTCTGATATGCAACGTGTGTAAGGATCCTTGGAGATGAAAAGCGATTCATGAAATGCAATTAATGAAAGGGCTACGGTACATGGTGATTATTGACATGGGAGATGATCGATAGATGGATGACTGATAGATCTGGGTGAGGTGGTGGTGAGCCGCTCTTTGCTAGGTGCATCAGTACCATGAACTCCTGACCATAACACTCCCATTGCCTTTCAAGATATCTGCCATGTTATTGACTCTGATAACCAATGAAAAGCTGAAGCAGTTCAATTGTTCAGCCAAGGACCCCTGGAAGGATGAACCCCATTCCAGTCCTGGTCAGTATGGTTCAAAAATGTCTTATTTGTTTTCAGAGTTAAGGGATAGGATGGGCGTGTCTTTGAGCTTTAGCAAATAACTGTAGTAACATTTGGAATCATATACATGCAGAAATAAATATTATTAAAAGGACAAAACTGAAAAGAATCAGCTACATAAATGATCTTGTCCTCCACTCACTCCAGAAGTGTTTGATGTTGGAGTTGTCACGCCCTCTGTAGCCAGAGGGCGCTCCTTCTCTGTCCTGTCCCTAGTTTCTGGTCTGCTGTCCTTCCGGTCCCTCTCTTTCCCTTGGGCTATATTTTTCCGGGTCTTGCACTCTGCCGGGGCTCAGCATTGATGTTCGGATGTCCTGAGACCCGCCTAGCACCAGGTCGCCCCACGTCCGCTACCTGAGGGCATTGGTTTCTATACGGCATTCCTGAACTCTTTGCACTACGAGCACGGGCCTTTTTCCCGTCTCGCCGCTACGCATATGGGTCTTTTTCCGCTCTCCTGCTGCCCTCGGGTAGTCCCTTTGGACGTCCGTGACAGGAGTCCTGTGACTCAACACCACAACACCACAGATATCTACAGAGCTCTTAGCCTTTCATATCTGTGTTACGGGGCTGGAATGCTTCTGTGATTGGTTCACTGCTGCTTTTGGAAATAAAGGTGTCGGAGGGAGAGATTTTTGCACACGAGACATGTAAAACAAGACATTAAGAGTTAAGAGTTTTAATGTTGTAAATGCTGTTAGGTGAAGCTGGCATGAGCTTTGATGAGGCAGTATTGTAGTAAGTAGTTAAAACAACTCACACCTGAAGAAGGCTTCACATCCAAAACATTGTGTTTTTTTTCTTCTCTTTTCAGCAGGGAATAAACCTATTACTTGTTCCCTTGCAGCCTACGCATGCTGACGCAGCTCCCCACCTGAACTACTGTAAAAACAACGTACTTGTAAGCTTAAGCCTTATTGCCACATGTTGTTTTAAGACGTGTATGTCTCTCTAATTTATTTTTACTTCCACTGTATCTTTACTTGGAGATTTTGTTCTTCGGCCAAAGTCCTTCTTGGAAACTGGTTAGATCAGCAACTGGGCCCACTGCTCATATCCAGAACAAGCAAACTGGAACCCAGCGACAGTGGTCACTGTCTATTGTGGAAAGGCCATGGAGCTGTGTGTGGCACAGAGTAAGGAGATAAAAGGAATGATTAAACACAAACTGGGGCTGCTGGATAAAGGTGTTGATTGGTTTTAAACTGCTGGCAGAAAGCAATCAGTTTGAATTACTGGATTGGGGAACCGGATATCTGTTAAGCACATGTGCGGCAGAGATACACAGGACAGATGTGTGTGTAACTCAGCCAGCATGCACTGTATGTGGTGCAACAGTCTAGGGTGGGATAATGGGAAGTTGTGGTCATATGTACACAGATAGGGCAACTTTCACACTCTTCTGGGGAGAGACTGCAGAGGACGGAACAGAGAATCACGCAAAACAAAGCCCCCAAGATGGAGGGGTAGTTCAGTGCATCTCTCAACGTTGCAGTACGTACTGTCAGCAGGGGCTCTATCTCTTATAGAGTCGAAAGATCTGAGCCCTAAAAATAGCCCTGGTGCCTCAGTTTAGACCGCAGCTATTTCTGTTACAATACGAGAAACAGCCTGTTGCGGGGGAAAGGGACTTGGCTTTCGAAATGCCTCGTAGTCCCAGTATTGGACCAGCACAGAGGTGACAGAGGTAACCACAGGGCACGAGTCTTTGTATGTCACATTACGATAAACAATACAGTATATCTGCACAAACTGTAGAGGTGGATGTCTGCCCCGTGCATCATCAAAACATGGGAAGAGTTAATGTAATAATGTTAATGTTGCTTTATTAGCCCTATACAATTTCTTGCATTAGGAATTCGGCTTTTCACATACCCCAGCTTGCTCTCCATGAGACACAGACACATATACAGGGAGAGAAGCTTGGGATCAGAGCACAGGGTCTGCCATTGTACAGCGTCCCTGGAGCAGTTGGGGTTAAGGGCCTTGCTCAGGGGACAACCGAGTAGGATTCCTCTGCCGGCTGCAGGATTTGAACCGGCAACCTTCCAGTCACAGGCACAGATCCTTAGCCTTCGCTCCGCCCGTTACTTGTTACTAATGAGAGGAGGCCTTTCAGCCCATCTAGATTGTTTGTAATAATAAACTCCTTAAACTTATATAGCGCTTTTCTGGACTCTACACTCAAAGTGCTTTACAGGTAATGGGGATCCCCTCCACCACCACCAGTGTGCAGCCATAGTGCACCAGTACACTCCCCACACACCAGCTCTCAGTGGGGAGGAGAGCAGAGTGATGAAGCCAGTTCAGAGATGGGGGTTAGGAGATCATGACTGGTAAAGGTCAGGGGGAACTTTGGCCAGGACACTGGGGTAACACCCCTACTCTTTTCAAGAAACACCCTGGATCTCGTCCAGTTGTCTCTTTAAGACCTCTGGGGTATCAGCTTCAACAACAGGGCTGGCTAGCTTGTTCCGGGCTCCCACAACCCCATTGTGTCTGTTTGTGTTCAAGCTCAGGTGTTGGTGAGTTTCAGTGCTGGCGTCTTCCTATCCAAACAGCACAGACTCGCAGGGCCCATCGTACAGCAGAGAAAAGACTGGCCTCGAGCCACTTTACAAAGAGGAACGCGCACTGAAAGAGCACATGTCTGCAGGCACAGCAGAGAAAATGAATGGCTGAAAACAAAAAAAAGGGGGTTGTATCGGCAGCTGTCAGTAAAATTAACCCAAACGCAGAGAGGCAAAGAGAGATGAATTAAAAATGAAAGCTATTGTTAATGGCTCATTCATTTGCCAATGTGTCAGGCTTCACTGCTGCTGTTTACGTCTCAGTATAATGGAGACCCAGGCCAAGTTTGTATTGTAAATAGCTGAAGAGCAAGGCAGCTCTTACAACTGTAACTGCAGACATCTGCAGTGTGTCACAATCAGCGAGGACTCACGTGGATTCTTTCTCAGCTCTCCGAATTGAAAAACAGTGGGCATTGCCCACACCAAAAGGCCAGGAACTGACCCACAGGAACATACAGATTTTCTTAATCACCTAAATATTTAACGAGCTCCCTTTTGTAAACTTGAAGGGACACAGCTGTGTGTCAGCTCTCATAATTCTGGCTCTTTTTTTCGGAGTCATCCAGTAATTAGATGAGCTGATGTAACAGAGGGGAAGTCTATGAGGTCACCGAGTGCAGTCAAGGTGACCAATACTATACAGAAATACCTCTTTTGGGATGACGGTAAAAAAAAAGCTTTATGTTATAATACGACTGGAATTTATTTATCTTCTCTTCCAAGGTTTGAATACGTCTTTACTACACGGTCTGTCTCTCACTGCTTCTTTATCAGCTACAATAACTGGAACATCTCCTTTTTATGGCGCACTGACAATATCGCCAGAGCCTTTATCGATCACAGCCTACACGCAGGACTGTATATCGTTAATTATTTACTTTAACAGCGAAGGTTAGGCCCGTGAAATCTGCCAGTGGTGGTACCGGCGTCTTATAACATCTTGGGATAAAAAAAGGAACGCACGCTTTTCGCTACAAGAAATGTTGCAGATAACTTTCGATCTGCTTTGTCACACTTTTCACGTATCCTCGTCTTCCGTGGTTACAGCCGCGTTACTAAGCAAAACTCCCAACGACACCGGAGATTGAAACCGCTGCAGATTGGTGGGAGCCGGGGGATGGGCGTGGTCCTTTGTTCGGCCCTCACCTTCGTGGCGGGGCGGTAGAAAAATAGTTGGGAGGGGGGAGGGAGGAAGAGCCGGGTTGGTCGGGGCGGACGTCAGTCAACCGCGATCGGCGCGCTGATTGGCCGAGGTCCGCTGAAGGGCTCCTCCGGGCACCGCAGTGTGGCGCGTTGCGCGTGCGAGAGGCTCCCTGTTCTGTCCTACGCTCTCGTGGCCGTGGCGCACTTGTTCAGTTCATCTCCGCCGGAAGGCAGCGACTAGCCAGCCCAGCGCAGCTACTCGGGGGGGGAGAGAGAGAGAGAAAAAAAAGGAGCACTTTCACTAGAAAGGTGTGTGTGTGGGGGGGAAAATCTTGGGTACACACCTTATAAAGAAGGGCTACACAGGGGGCGACTCCGGACACGAAAGAGGAAATGGAAGACGCGCAGCACATCTCGTCCACGACGCCCGGCGTCGATGAACTCCGCAAACTTCAGGGGGACCCCGACAAGATGGACGAGAGCAAGTTGTACGACGAAGCCGCCGGCTATCTGTTGCAGGAGAGCGGCGGCGGCTCGCCCAGGCCGCTGGCCGACGACGATATCCTCGACCTGGCCGGCGGCGCCCGGGATGCTCTCCTCCGGCACCGCTCCGCCACCCCGCCGGGGACCGGGGACCCGGACAGGGACCTCTACTCGGAGTTTGCCCCCGCGGCCGAGCCCGGCGATCTGCTGACGGGGATGGGCGGCTTCGGGGCGCCCTCGGTGAAGCAGGCGGCCGATAGCCCCCCGAAACCGGAGCCGCCCAGAGCCGCCCCGCGGAGCCCGGCCAGCGACCCCTCTCCCGCCTCCTCCTCCTCCTCCTCTTCGGCGGCCTCCTCCCCAGGTGAGTACCGGTGCCCCTTTCGGAGGAAAAAGACAGTTTAGGCGTGTCTGAAGCGGGTGGGTACTTCACCCGGCCCACGGCCCCTGGGGGGGCCGCACTTCTGTCTCGCGGAAGTTGGGGCGCTAGACAATGGCCGTGGCTGCGCCCGAGGAGCCGGGAGCCTTTGTCGCGTGTGTGTGTGTTTGTGTTCCTGTATTATTGCACAAATAAAGCACAACTTCAATGCCGCGTTCCCGAGGCGGGGGGTGGCCCGGAGAAGCGCGGTCCGATGACTCTCACGGCGGTGCTGCCCACCTGTGTCGCCCCGGCGAGACGCGGGGGATCCGGGGGACCCGCAGCCGCTAACGGCTCCTTCTCAAACGGAAACGCAGTGCGCGGCTGAGAGAGATGAGATAGTTGTTTGCCCCTTTTGCACAGTATTTTAGGATCGCGTCCTGTGTGTGTCTGGGGGGGGTGGTAGTTCGTTTTGGGGTTGTTTTGGGGGGGTGAATTGTCCCTGAGTCAGCAGCCATTTTTCTCCAGCTCCTGGGTGGTCGAGATGTAATCAGGGGGTCGGGATAAGGACCTGTCTGTGTCTTGTCTGTGTGTGTTTTAGTTGCTATGGCGTAGTCCCATACCGGGGAGAGCTTGCACAGACCGTCGCGGCCGTCAAAAGATGTTTTTTTTTTAATTCTTTTGCTGACGACGGGACTCCCCCTCCCTCCTGACTGATGCGCTATAATGCCGGCCAGGCTCTTGTCTCGGCGAGGCGGCTGGCTGGCTGCGCTCGGACCCGACATCCCGGTCCGGTTCGGGTCCGGTGTTCCGGGGTGGATCGACCGATGGGCGTGGGTCCGACAGGTGCTGGGAGTGAGATGGCCCGAGCAGACAGCCCCCCCGGGGGGGAGGGGGCGCAGATTTGGCCAGCTGTAGCCCTGGGGATGCTGTTTGGGACCCGACCCCCCCGCTGATCTGTGTGTGAAGTGATTAAGCTGCTGGCTTTTCTGGGGGGGGTGAGAGAGGTGTAGCGCAGTATCTGGGGGGGAGGCGACAGCAGGCGCACAGGTCAGGAGGCCCTGGTGGTGGGCCGGGCTGGGCTTGCTCCGACGCCGAGCAGACTGCAGCGCCAGTCTGCGCCCACGGCCTTGGAGAGGCGGGTGCGGTGTGTCTGCAACAAAATGATCTCCGACAGGAAAGTAGTCTCCATACGGAAACAGCGGACGAGCGGCCAGACAGAAATGAGAATCCCGCACATGTTCTTTAAGGGAAAGAAAGACCTCATCATATCATCCAGGCGAAACCTGTGGCTTCTTGATATCCGCGCTGTACCCCGCGCCGGGGAGGGGTACCTCCGGCGCCGGCTTTGTTTTAGTGGGTGATGTCATGCTCTGCGGCCGACAGGGGCCGTAATATACGATCCCACAGATAAGCACATGCTCGGCTACTCCTTATGTTTAATTATTTACAATAAAATACCTCTCGTTCTTTCAGTTGACACACCGCCCTATGCGTCTAAACAATCGTATTAAAAAAAAAAAGTGCAATCATAGGGATATGAATTAGACTTTCTCCAAGGCAGGCAGATAGCCACAGTATTCTGTCTCCAGTGCTTCTCAGGGTATTGTTTTAAAGCCCAGGGGATTTGGCCTTGATCTGTTTATCTTCCATAATCCCTTTGTACTGTAGCTGCTGATGCATATGTACCTACACCAGTTTCACATGCTGCACATGTTTTCTTCAGCTCCTTCCAATGTAGGACTTCTGTTTATGCAGGCTCGTTTACAAGGCATTCATGTAATATGTTCTGTAAGCATGTTACACGTTTTTTTTCCAATTAAACTGCTTCTCCTCCTCTACCCAAATTTCGGGTTTAGAAGAGAGACTTTGCTCTTATGTGCTTTTTTGGGCCAGATTTAGGAGCTTCATGAAAATGCCGTACCTAGCTCAACAGGACACAGAAAACCCATTTGGACAAATTCAGTTAAAAATGGCGTTTCGTGTTTTATACTTTATATAATAATGTCGAGACGGTTGGTTCTGAAGGCCTGTGGGTGATGTTGCCTAGCCAGTTCAGGGAAAAGGGTTAATTCTCAATAACTTTGCCACCTTGATTGGCTTTTCAGAGGTCATGCCATTTAGCAGTTTGTTGTGTTTACTGGGTTTCTAAGGACCAAACTAATATAATCATCAGCTGCAGACCCTCAGATTATCTGAGTGCATGTAGCGTGACTGTGAGTCACTATTGCCACAGCAGCTGTGTAAAAGACTATCCAGTCTGTGGTTGCTTCCTCTAGGTAAGAGATGACAGTGCAGTTGCTGTTTTTAACCCCTCAGAGGAGGAGCGTTTTGTTGTACAAGGCAGTGGAGTAAGCGTGTATAGTGCATGGGTCAGAGCTTAGCTGCTGGCATGGGCTTCCAGGCACTGCCCTGCACTGTCTTACTCCTCCACCCCAGTTACCAAGGCCCGTCTGCCCCTGCTGGTCTGATTAGCCTGCGGGAGAGCACATTGCCCTGTTGAGAAATCTTACAAATCAGAGCTTATGACAGGCTGGTGTCAGACTGGGTGTGCGCCCAGAAAGAAATGCAGTGAAATAAGAGATAAGAATGACTTCCTAATTTGGGCACTTCCAATGGTTGCAGTTTAGCAATGACTCGGGTGAAAATTGTTGTTGATTCCTTGTTAGTCAGTTTAGTCAGTAGTGTTTAGGGGATTTCTGCTGCCTTTGCTTCAGAACCTAGACTTTCTCTGCTTGAGTTTCATGTTAAGCTCTACAAGGATATTGTTCTGTCTGTTTTAATCAACTAACTGTGCGGTGAGGATCTGTCTGGACAGGCTTTATCATTAGCTTAATATGTTAGATTTGTTTAAATTACTTCTGCGCTCTGCGTGATTTGTGAGAAATTTCATTCCAGCCGTGTGGAGGTTAGATTATGCCTTCTCCTCCTTTATTAGGGTCATGTTTAAATGTTTTTTTTACTTGCGGCTTTAATTGCTTTCCACTCGGGCTGGAATGTGATGCAGTCATGCTGCCCGTATAGCATGGCAGTGCTGTTCTTGGTACCAGGCAATGCCAGATGACAAATTCTTGTCTATCATATCTGGTCTTCATAAACTGGATCCAAGTTAAGAATGACAGCAGTTCAACGCGTACTGGGATAAGATGAGTGCCTGCCTGCATCTGATTGACAGTGCAGTACCCGTATTTTGTTTCCCAGTGAAATAAGGACAAGCCTGAAACTTAAGATCTCATTTGTTGATTAGCACTTTTGTTCTTGGGTGTCGATACACTTAATGTTGTTCAGCATGTATTCCTCAGAGCTGGAAAACCAGTTCTTCTCCTTTCCCCAACATGACTTCTGTTATGTTCACACATTAGACCGTGTGAACTTTAAATCCTGTCTGCAGGCGTGCACTTTCTTTTTGTGCCCGTTCAGGCTGAGAAATGGCAGTTTAGCCACAAAAGAAAAAAAATAATCCCACTACCACCTTTACCCATGTTAATCTAGGCGACAGGTGGAGTTCGGCATCGTCTCGGTTTGCACTAGAGGACTCCTGAGTTATAGGGCACATTCCAAAACCTGGACTCCGACTTTTACCATCATAATCATAGCTGTTATCTGAATGAAGAGTATAAAGATAACACTGAATTTTTGAAGCCATTTAGGTAGAAATAGGTTTCTAGATTTAGGTTTCGGTTGTTGCTTTCTTCGGGGAAGAAAGGCCAGAGTGTCTGAGTAGCAGTGTCCAGCTGTGGGACCGCTGTCACTTCAGGGCCCAGAATGATTCACTTTCACTGCGGGAATCACGTCCCTGTACATGACAGGCTCACAGCTCCTTAACCTGCACATCACAAGGGTGTAGTGCTGGATCCCTGTGCTACAAGTACACTGTCTAAGCACTGAAAAAGAACTGTCAATTTCAAACACTGTTTTAAAAAATTGGGCACTTTTTAAAATTCTGTTGCATGGATTGCTGTATATGCACTCATTAAGCTTTCACACTTCAGGGAAAGCAGCAGAGCAGATCAGGAGTGAGGAGATCCCAGCGGCTCCAGTCACTCCCCCAGTGAAGTTAGATCGAAAGAAAATAAAAGAAATCTTGGGTATAAGCAAGCCATATTTTTTTTTTTCTCTGTACAGGTCCTACAATCAATTGGTAAAAGTGCAGCCAGGTCTCATTTTTCCTGAGGCTACTGCATTGCAATTTGAATGATAAACAAATTCTTTTGTCAGCCTTGACAGTTACTTTCCTCTTCTCTTATCACAAATGGATTGTACGTTATAAGGATATATTTCTCCACTGCATCAAATAATGTTTCCTGAATCTAATCTTCTGCCAGGTGACAGTAGATCTTAAAAATCATAACCTCTTTGGAAGTTGGACGAAGCCTATAGCCATAGTCTACTGAACACTTTGAATCACTGAACTATTTTTCAGTACAAGTTAGACATTATTAGATTCTGCTGGTGCTGCCAAAAAGTTTGTTTATTGAAATTGTCGGCTGATAGGGATCAGACCATCATTGAGTCTCGGGAGAGATCCCTGGTGTTGTGTGTGTTTGAAAATGCTCAGTATAATGATGTCTCTTACTGGTTTGTTTTCAGGATTCTTTTTCCTGGATTGGAAACTAGACCAAAGAGGTAAATACAGGAGGTAAATTCAATTCCCTCCCAAAAAATCCAATCAAGTTTGATCTTGTCCGTGATTCCAATTGACCACACTGATAATCGGAGGCAGACACTGGGATTGGTAGTGGTTATGGTGATTATCATATGCTGATTGATGACTCTGGAAATCTTCAACTATCTGGTCATTTAATAAAAATTATTCTATTTATCAATCCACATGGAATTTCAGAACCATTAATTTTGTCATCATTGATTTCCTTTCTTCAAAGTTATATTACAATGTTTAAGTTTTTCCTGTGTGCATGTCTGGCAAACGTTTGATTTTTAAAATGTGTTGAAGTGCCGAAGCATCTGCTCCAAATGGTCTGTAACATTTAGTTTTGCTGTAGAAAATGTTAAGTAAACCTCTTTGTCATGTTAAGCACTGCTACAGTTTGTTTTTGAGTTGCTGATGACGGGTTGTGTAATTTGAAATTATGAGTATTTGAGAATTTTCTCCCCAATTTCCCTGTAGTTTTGCGTTGGGGAAAAATCTGTGATTCTCTCAAGTTAGAGACTTTCTGATGTTGGCACTGAAAAGGTGTGGTCACTCTACTCCTTGAGTTCAAAAGAATATATTAGTAATAGCAAGGAAGTAGATTATATTGGAAAAGCACAGGTCTAGACAGGTTGTGCTTTTATTTCCTATGATCCTCACTTAAAACTGAAGTGAATGAAATTGTAGCCATTTTCATAAGTGAAAAGTAAGACCATTATTTAATTACTTTATGGTTTCCTGACATTGAGGAGCAGTGGTGCAGTATAGTGAGTACTGGTGCTAGCCCCGGTGAACGGGCATGTATTGAGATTGAAAGAATATGGAGGAAGACCTTAAAGAAATGTTCACTGCAGGGTATAGCAATCAGGAAGAATTATGGTGAGAACAATGAGAGCATTGCTTGTGCAAAATCATGTGCAACAGACCATCCTACTAGTAGGATAGTTGCGTGATGCAAATAGCTGCATTAGTGGTAAGTCTGTTTCTTGGTGTCTGAAAGACAGGATTAGTTTCATATATGGTGCTGGCATACAGGCCTCGGTATAAAGCTGTGAAACTAGATGGATCTATATTCCCTGTGGGAAGTGTGTGTGGTTCATCTTGGAGGTATCATTTCCACTTGCGCTCTCTGGCTTTGATGTGGCGTTGTCACAAAGGCTGGAGTATGTTCTACTGTGGATTGCCGGTTTTTATTCAGTTGTAGTTGAGCAATCTCTTGCATTTATCTAGAAGGTTCCCAAAGCACTTCACCCTTGGGGGGGGTGACCCCTGTTTTGAAGTCCCCACCTGGGGTTGTTGGTGACTGCTGCTTTGCAAAAGCAGCCTTGTGGCCCCTGTCATCTAGACCTTGGTTTAAAATTTCAGTTTCAGTTGGATGTAGAGGAATTCACATGAAAGATCTCTCCAGACAACGCGTTCGGGTGGTCCACTGCTGTACGGTGTATTGTCAGGTTTGTAGACTTAGGAGGCTGTTTTTGCATAGCTTGCTTGCCGGTCAGGTGATCCCCAGATCCCAGCTGGTTGTCTTCAGCTTCAACAACGTGGCTGTGCAGCTTGTTCCCCACTTCTACAGCTCTTTGGTGACCTCTTAAAACATGGTAAGAAACTTGATGTTTATTGGATTTTTGTTCAGTTGGATGCAGGGATTTTGTCTGTTGTTGCCATGTCATTTTGTCTGACCCTTCTCTTTCGTGATGGTTTTAAAGACAAGAATTGTATAACCGAGGACTGTATGTGCAGCATATTTTAATTTATAATGACCACTTCTTATTTTCTTTGGAGCCACAAATTTCTCTTCATTTTATCGGTTAGGTTTAAGAATCTCTGTTCCTTAAGTACTTTCCTGATCTATGTCAAGCCAATGTATGTCTCAGCGCAGTTTGTTTTAATTGTGAAAGAGTTCAGAATGAGACATTGACCGCAGAGCTTATGTGCACCGTGATGGTGTGATTGTAAATAGATTGGCGTGAAGAACTTAACCTAGGTCATGCAGTGCATTTGCAGGACATGTCTGAATTTAATAATTTCGTGACTTCATCTGTGACTGACTGCTTGGTATGCTTACCTCTTGTTCTCTTCCTGTTCCCTGGGTGCCAGAATGCTGTGCTTTCTTCGAGACAGCGGGCACTTGGTTAGCCGCTCTGAGCTGATCTTGTTTGTTTTTCAGATGAACCCATTTTTTCTTCTTCTGCTCCATCTCAGCCTCTGGTGCAGTCCTCTGCAGGCAAGTTCTTTCTCTGCTGGCCCCGTCTTATCTGCCTCACGTACTGTTTCATATTCAGCTTCTGTTCTTTCCTGAGTTTCCCCCTCCTTGATAGGCTGCCCTGCTTGTTTTTATGTGCCTAAAATACATTGCTGCATGTTTAGGTCTTATATCATCCATCTGAGTGTTTAGTTGCATGGAAAGTTTTAGGCTTTTGATTAACTATTCTTATAGAAGATTTATTGTAATTTGTCCTTGTATTATGGAAACAGCCTTTCGTCTAGACCCTCTTAGATGCTACCTCATAGATCTAGTTTTACCAACTATTGTTCACACTTAGTAAATCTGGTATCTTGTTTGCTGACCCTGTATACCTGGTGTTTTTCCCTCACTGGTTTGCAAAGCACATTGCAAATACATACCAAAATCATTACTCCATTATCCTGTTCAGGAAAATTGAAAATATGTAAATTGTATTTATGAATTCTTCCCCCATACATAACCAATTAAGTTAAAAAGATGATATTTTTATAAAATAAATAATTTATTTTCCATAACATCTCTAATGCTTGTGCTTTTGCTGCCATTATTGATGGGGAATGCCAGATTAGAGATGTAGATGTGACTGATGAGATGTTGTGAGTCGATTGTCTCTTGATGTGTGGCATTTTCCTTTCTGTCCGTGGGCACAGAGAGGTCTGTGGATATGCAAGAGCAACCATGTAGCACTCGGCCAGTGGATCAGAAGGAGGGCACTTCTGTGCTTGGGACTGTTGCTCCTGTTTCCTCTACATCTCCTCTTCCTTCTCCTGACTCTTTGGAAGAACTGTCTCTTTCTGAAAGCCCCAACAAAGCCCTTTCTTTGGCTGCACCCTTTGCATCCTGTCCAGTGCAGGTTGCAGACGCTTTTGCTCAAATCGTTGTCCAGGATGTGCCTTTGAATGAAGAGGTGAAGAATTTTGAATGTAAAACTCAGACTGATAACATGACACTAAGGCTTGATGCCCATCAAGCAGACAACCAAGTAAGACTAGATGACGTTAGCATGAAGATTGTCCCCGATCTAGATGCATCACAGATTGTTGCTCCGTCCTTGTTTCCACTACAAGAGACCCTTAATCTGAGCCAAGACACTGTGTTGGATCACAAGGAGGAGGCCTCTTGCACCCTTGAAACGCTTCTTGCAGATAGTGCGTCTTTAAAGACTGTTGTTATGGAACCAGAGAAGCCAGTATTCTGCAAAGACAGTGAGGTTATGTTCTCCTCTGATATAAAGTTGGGGGATTCAAAAGAGACTTATGAGGAGGAGAAAATGGATAGTGACAGAGAGGAGCGTGATTCATATCCACACACTTCTGAGGAAGCAGCTGGATCTACTCTGCCACAGTTACTCCCAAACACAGAGACCTCACAAGGAGTTGGCACCCAACATTTTGTTACTTATGCTACTTTTGACCCAGCAGTGAACTTTGACTCTCCTCCGTCTGATTCTAAAGATGACAGCAAAGTGTTGGATGTACCATCTGAGGATGATTCTGCATTAAACGCTTCAAGTTTTAAAGTCGGCTTGCCAACAGGTCAAGCAGAAGTTGGCCATGAGGTTCTTCTTGAACTGAAGACCTCTGCCGCCCTTGACACATCAGTCCAGAAGGAGTCTTTGCGTGAACTGTCTCCCATTGACGTTTCTAGTGGTGGTCTTCCACAGTATAGTGAAACAGTATCTGAAGATAAGGCTGCAGAAATGTCGGAAAGCCCTACACCGGACTTGGTTCAAGATGCGTATGATAATGATTTGCAAGATTTAACTCCGACGAAACATCAAGAAGAAACCCCTGTTGATTTAGTTCAGATGATCTCTGATTCAGCCTATGAGCCGTTGGATCCTTCGATGCACCTTCCCCCATCTACCAAAGAGTCTGAGGGATCTGCTGCACCGCCTTCACTGCCAGACATCCTGAAGTCTTCTCCCCTGGGCTCTAGCAAACCCGAAATTGTGTCGTCGGAAGGGACTCCAGATTCCGAAACCAGCCCTGATCAGGAACATCTGCAGGAGCCTCGCGATGTTTCCCCCTCCATCGAGGCGGCAAAGCTCACTGCTTTTGAGATGGACTCAAAAATCCCTCATTTCCGCGAGACTGCTGGGCAGGTTGCATTTGAAGAAGCTGAGAAGAAAGATCGTGCTTTCGAACAAGTCGCAGATAAAGGGCTTAGCACCTGTGACCTCGTTAAAGAAGCACAAAGCACCACAGACCACAAAGATCAGTTCAGGATGGAGCCTGATGGAAAAGACTGGATGAATTTTACGTGCCCGGATGCTGCTCAGTCATTGGGCAGTCATGAATCTCAAAACCCTGAACCACCAATAGATTTAACCGCCAGTCATGCGCCCAAAGAGAGTGTTCCTGAAGAATCCGATTCTGAGAGCCCCATGACAGATTCACTGTCTCCCGTCTTGGAAGCAATGGCAAAGAATCCAGCCATCTTTCAAGTTGAAATCGAAAGGTATCAAAAGGACACCGAAACCTCCACAACCCCAGAAACCCAGAGTTATCCAGAGAGCGGGACCTTTCTGGAAGAGGCAGATGAAAGCGTGGAGCTGGAAGAAGCGTTTGAGCAGGAGGGCTCCTCTGAAGAGTTTGAAATGATCGAGAGGCCCCCTGTTGGTTCAAGAGGCGTTATAGACGAGTTTCTGGAAACGTTGGATAACTCCAAATTTGCAAAGACATCCGAGGCAGGTACAGATGATGAACCATCTCCAGGGTTTGGAAAGGATGAGTTAGTCCCAGATATAGATACAGAATTTCACGTCCGCTCACAACTAAACTCCTACACAATTCTGTCTGAGCCTACACCCGGGCCTTTACCGCAGAAGGTACTGCTGGACCTGGAAGCCCCAGCGGTCTGCTCAGAAGAGCCCAAGATGGGCCAAGCCCAAGAAATAGTTCCAGAAGATGTCCACTTGCATGACCCTCGTGTGGACTCCACAGTGGAAGAAACCGAAAAACTTGTTTCTCCTCCTCCTCCTCCACCTCCGACAGCTGAAGACAAGCCCTCGTCCCGTGAAAAGGCTCGCCTTGAAGCCCCAAAGGCTACTCACTTGCCACCCCTGAACACAGAAAAAGGTAATTTCCAGCATGCACGTGTGCACCATCCTGTTTGGCATGAGTTTCCTTCACCTCAGGGGCCACTTGTCATTCGTCTTTTTTTTTTAATGTGAACCTTTCCACTGTGGTGTATTTCCACTTTGGTTTCCCTTTTCCTGCATGCTGATGATCGTTCCACAGTAGAGATGGCCTTAATCTTTTGTGTCTTATGTGGCGAGAGTTGATGACTCTTTTCATTGTTCATGCCTTTGTGTTGCGTTGTTTTTCATACCCATTCGTTTTTAGAGTAGCATGCTTTCAGTAGATAATTACTTGGTAAGTATTGAATAAAGATTACTCGTATCAAGATTAAAATAAGGCTCTTGAGTGGCAACATGGATGCCAAGCATGGTGTTTATATTGGGCATGAGCATTTCAAAATTAGTGTGAAGAATTGTCATACAATCTGTTAGACATATTCCATATAAGCCTTGAATCTCTTACGATACATTTTGGAACTAAGGATCTTTCAAATTGTAAATGCTGTATGGGGGGGGGTGGGGGAACGACAAAACCTAAGTAGTTTTTACAATACACTTTAGTTACATGTGAGACAGAGGTACTACTTTTGAGATCTGACAGATTATCAAAGTCTATGAATATTTGTGCTACCTGCAAATGGCAGTGTGGAGCACTGGTCAGGATTCTGGCCTTGCAAGTGGAAGGTTGTGGGTTAAAATCCCAGGTGAGACACTGCGGTTGTATCTTGAGAAAGTTCATCTAGTTTGCTCTGGTGAAATACACCTCTATGCAAAGGCCTGCAGATGTTTGATTTACTTAAAATAATAAAATAGAAAATGTATCCTAAAAGGCTGAACCATAAAGATGTCAATTGTAGCTTTCATAATTCCAGAAGAATCTTAACAAATGTTAAATACTCCGGAAAGTATTTCCTGTTTAAAAAGTTTTACATTTTAGAAATGAAAACACTAGTTATTACTGTATAGTTCAGTCACCCAAGAGGCTTTCACTTGAATGCTGTTTTATGTATGCTTCCGTTAGCGATTCAGAGAGGAAGTGATTGAAACTTTACTTCCTCTCGCAATCTCGCCATGAGATGAATGGATTATATTGTCTCGCCCTTCTTACAGTTAATAGAAAAATTAGGATTTCCTCTAGCTTTCAATATTTTCAAATTTATTTTGACTGTTTTCCAAAATAATACCTGCTACTCCTCAGTTTTGTTTCTAAGATGTTCATTTGATCTAAGTGTAAGATCTTAACTCTGGGAACAACAGTTTTGAGTTTAGAAATAGCAGATATTGCCTTTGCAATTAAAGTTGATTACAAGAAGGCCATTTTTTAGATCCAGTTTTTTCAAATCAAACGTCAGTACCTCTCTGCAGATGATGATGGGGTCCCATTTGTCATTTACTAAATCATACCTGTTGCTGCTGTTCAAAAAATAGTTTTTAACGAACTTTGTTCTGTATACCGTATTATTAGTATGTATAATAAGCCTGAACTAAGCCAGGAAGGATTTTATTGGTTGGAAACCAGATCAGCAAGCCTGAATTATCTCCATACTGCAGCAAAGGTTTCTGCTTAGGTAATACTGCTATGTAAAAAAGGCAAAATATCTTCTAACAAAAGCTTCTCCTTGTTCTTATACCTTTTAAGGAACATTATTTTAAATGTTTTGCAAGTATACTACTTTAAATTCCCTTTATAAGCAAGAGAACCACATTAAACTGAATCATTGGCTTCATGAGTGGAATAAAGCAGCTTTCATTGTGCTGTATTTGATAAGTCATGGAAGTGCTTGGTTATCATTGGGAGGTGTCGTCTTGCTGGAGCAGCTTCATTTCATGCTGTCATTGGGAAACAAGCTCGTCCTGGTGCTGCAGGAGCTGGCAAGTAGAATCTCGGATGTCACCCAGTGAAATGGCACGGGGGATGATGCTTCACACACTGGGTGTGTGCGGCAGAGACGCCGCGATGCGCTGGGTCTTGATCTTTGATATTGGCGATGTCTGGAACACACGTTTCCTGTGAATTCGGCAAAAACCATAAGGAAGGTTCTTTGAGGAGACCATGTGACTCTTCCGGCCCATTTGATAATACTTCATCCAGAATGTCTTCCAGCTGTTTTTAAAGGAAGACAAAGTGCTGACTTCCACCATGTCATTGGGTAGGTTGTTCCATACTCCCACAACCCTTTGCATAGAGAAGTGACTCCTATTCCATGCTTTCAGACTGATAATACTTGAAACTTAAGTGAGAATGAGATCGAACTTTGCTGCATACAGTACTGTGAAGAGTTTGCTTGGAGCAGTTTTCTGATTGTTTCAGTAGGGGGTGCTTTCTCTTCTCTGGGTTAGGAGTTTGGTTTGAATAGCAGATATATTCCATGTCTATCATTTACAAATCTACTTCAGATGTTTTTTTTTCTTCTCTCTGAAACAATATTGATGTGCAATGTTGTTGGTATCGTTGAGGTTTTCCTGCAATGATCAGTGTGGGTTAAATGGAGATTTCTCTTATTCTGGACATTCAGTCCCATTTGCGTACTATGCTGAGCAGAGGCAAATTAAAAGGCTGCCTAATTAGGCCCGTGCATGAGGAGATTTTTCAGGCATGGCGTTGCGTGCTGAATTTTTTTTTTTTATGTGGTTAATTGTGGATACAGTACATGCAACTGTCACCTCCTTGTTTGGTCTTCAGTCTTCTGTCCTTGCCTCAGCCTGCACTTGAGCTAGACGGGCTGCAGCTGGGTTTGCGGCTATTAGTGCTCGCAGCCTGACCTGGAAACCCCTAGGGTAGAAACAGCTGTTTAAAGCAGGCCGGTCTTTTGGTTAACTGGGTCCTGGGGGAAGGCTAGCAGTTGTCCATAGCTGTGTGGGGACAGTGCAAGCCTGGACCCTAGACCGTGTCGCACACTGTCCAAGAAGAGAGACCAGTGTAGCTCACCGTGGAGTCTCCCCGCCCACTTTCCAGTTCCCAAACCAGTGTGTCTCCTGTCCTGTATACACAATAGAAATAAACTGCTGTGAAGGGAGGAAAATGGTTCTAAATTCACTTTATCTGCAGTGAATATATTCAAAGAGTATGAGGGTCACATAATGTGGGTGGAATCTTTGGGCATCAAGCACAGGAGCCTGCAGGCTCTGTCTTATTTTATACTTGATAGTGCTTCTGAATTTGTGAAATGAAATTCACTTGTTGTTCTCTAGGCTGTTCTGGGTTTCTTTTTCCTTTATAAATTAACCTTTGTGGATTGAAATGGGGTTCTCTGCCTGTCTACTGTGATGGTAGTCCGTGATGGTGGTGTAGAAGTGGATTACTCTGAAGTAGTGGGCAGGAGCGCTGGAGGTGCTCAGTGTGTTTCGCTTTGAAAGATAATGGCCCCACTTCCAGCATGAGTCCATTGAAATTAAATGCAAATTGGAATTTGAGTGAATGAATGAAGTCTCTTAAAAACATAGTATGCTGCAGTGATATTTTTAGTATTTGGAATTTTGCTGTGTGAATCAAAATGAAAAGGCATATTAAATTCAAATGATATTTCCGGTGCATGACAGTCTAGTTTCATTAATGTTTTTAGCTTGAATTTACCAGGTTTAACTGCAAGACTATCAGCTTGGGAACTGATAAGCAATATGCATTATCTCATTTGTTTTCTTCATCATTGCATTTGACCCAGTAGATGTGTACTTTGTCCTCTTGTTCTGCAATCCGATGTGACTCTTGCTATTTAGGTGAATTGGCAAATAACTAAACCTGTTAAACTGAATGTTTCTTTTTTTGGGAGAGTTAAAGAGTTAGTTCTCCTAGTAAAGGAGCATCAGACAGGATAAAGAGTGAAGGGTGCAAAGGGGAGAGTTTGCAGGATATTTGGGGTGTGTGGATAGTATTTGACATGCCACAAGATTCATGAGTTGGAAGGGTGGTGCCACCTTGTGGTAAGAAACTCAAAATGGCAGCTTTAGAGTAAGCTGTAAAAATTAATTGGGATTGAGGGAAAGACAACTATCCCTTATTAATCTGCTAATAGGAAATACAAGCAATCCCTGTGCCAGAGGCCTGTCGGTAGTTTGTAATTTTCTCTATTTGTGGGAGGGCTTAAAACCTGTGGAGATTTACAGACAGTGGTCTTTGGACTGAAGGTTTTGTTTGTTGATGGTGAAACTTGACACCTAGAAATAATTGGAGGTGTGCTGATGGACACTGCACACTTCCATGTTGTGTTGCAGCTGCATAGAAGAACCAAACCTTTTGAGAAGATTGAGAAGACTCAAGTTGATTGCTTTCAGATGTCCTTCTGTCCCCACTAGTTTGACTGTAATGATAATGAAGATTTCGATTGTCATTTTGCAATCATAAAGCAACAGCATCTTGGTTTTCCATTTTCAGTTCAGTTCACTTTGTCATTCTGCACTTACACAGATGTACAAGAGAGAACAAAATAGATTCTCCTGGCCCGAGGGGCACAATTCACTAGGAACAGTCAGCATAATCATTGGATTAAAAAAAAACAGAGCAATGCAGAGTACATAAAATATCCAGTGGATTTTGCAAGGTTTTTATTTTTTTATATAGCTTGTCTACCCGGTAGTTGTCTGGCCCTGTGCTGAAAGCTTGTCTCCTGGAGCCCAGGTTTCCTTAGTGCCTGATCCTTAAAGCAGCCTGTGGCCCAGGGGGAGCTTGCAGTCAGGACTGGGGCTAAAGGCTCTGTTTCTCAAAGCCGGCTAGTGCAGTACAGCTTTTCTGCTTGAATGGGATCTAGACCACACAACTGACGCTAAAGCTGTGTCGTGATCTGCGAGAACTGCCTCATTTTGAAAGAACAGCTGTGCTGACTGAAGATGGGAAAGATGGATGTGCTGTTGTTCCTGGTTAGGTTTTCCTGATTAAGTGTTGTATAACAGAAAAGGCTTCTGTAAAGGCATTACACTTTATCTTCTAGCTTTTTTTTTCCTTGTAAAAAGATCCGTATCAAACGGAAGAAAAAGAGCCCCGAGATTAATGATAATGGTTGC